ACCAGTCTTTATAGATACGGTACCAAGTAACCATGGGTAAACGAAAAATATAGGTACAAAAGCGGGGAAAACAAAACCCACACAAAAGACCATCAACAGTGCCCGGTGCCTCTTAACAATCAAATGGGCTAATCCAAGCTTGGCACTCTAAAAATGTACTATTTTCCTTTAAACACAACCTGCTTGTCCAATATGACAATTCTAACAGAAGGGTTAAATCATGTTTTTAATGTGTATTTCCTATGATAACTTCGTTCCTTCAACATGGTAGAATATGAAAACATTTTTTTAAAATTCTCTGTCGTGAAAAGGCACGTGCATTTAAATGTGCATGGAGGGCTGAAATTCAACGAATATCTTTTCCGTTTAAGAGCAAAGTAAGGCAGTTCGATTCCCTTTATACTGTAAGTTTATGTCACATGGAATCAAACTACTCTGAAAGCAGAAGAAAATGATTCATAGTTTTCCTGTATATATTTAATAGTTTAATACTGCATTTACTCGTTCCTCAAATTATAAAGGATCAGTTATATTGATTCGAGTTCTCTACCCACCCCATCTTTGTTTGAACCAGTTACCTATGGTGAAACGTATAAATGCATCATTTGTTCCAAAATGTCAATCGGACATGATCGAGATAACTTAAGTCCTACCCTTCTTAAACACGGTGTTGAGCCACTGTGTCACGTTTTGGCACAAATAGCTAATTTTTCACTTGAACCCCTAATTATTCCCGATGAGAACTACACCCATGCCCAAATGAACAACAAAGGACCCAATTGCGAAACCTTTCAGGTCTATTGTTCTCACTTCCACTGGTTTAAAATTGATGAAGCGGTCAGTTCTGCATCACCTTCAGTTACCTCTCACCACCCTCAATGACATTTATTAGTTTGCATTTAAGTATGACCAGTCTACATTGAATGCCGTGTACTCTCTAGTTCACTTCATTTGTTAGTCCCTAAACGAGAAAGTCAAATATGTGCACTGTGCATTTTTTGACTTTTCTTCCGCTTTTGACTCGGTACCACGTTCTGTTATACTTAACAGGCTCCCATCGTTTAGTTGTCCCATTTCTCTTCATGAATGGTTTGGTGATTACTTTTCGCAAAGATGTCAGTACGCTAACTTGAGAAGGATGCAGTCAACGGTATCAGTGAATAGCTCGGGTGTACTTCAAGGTGCTGCCTCCTCACCGTAACATTTTTGCGACTTATAGCAGTGACTTACCTATTACTACCCTGTATGACACTTTAATTATGCTGATGAAATCACCATTTCTGTTACCCTAACTAACCTGTCTGAACCGGCTGCATATCCTACCTGGTTACGTATTCCAATTTATCCGGTCTTAGTATCAACTCTGTAAAAAACCTTGAATATATTTTAGATTAGAACCGCTCCGAATCTTCTTCCGAAAGTGTACAAGTTCACGGAAAACCGATAAGCAGGGTCAGCCGTGTGAAGTACTTAGATCTCAAACCTGAAAGTAAGGTTCCCTGGTCTTAACGTACCCAAAGTGTTACTCTCAAGCTGAAANGAAAGTCATCTTCTTTCAGATAAGAAAATTTCGTCGATTCTGTTGTGATCTGTTTTAGATAGGAGCCTTTTTTCAACAGTGTGTTCTCACTATACTGCGCTACTGCTTCCCTGTGATTTCCCCTGGTTTGTTGAAGACGGATTTGAAGCTGCTGAGGTCTGGTCTCTCAATGATCAGCCGCTTTTCCCAAGTTCCTTCTTTATCTGTTCTGATTGACAATATATTTGATGCTCATATTGATGCGTGCTTAAGTTTGCTGACAATGTTATATTAGGTTGTACCCATCCTTTACACATTTACCTGTGTGGGTGCAAATTCCACCCCTCCACCCATTTTAAATAAAAACTCAATCCCATCCCCTTTATGGGTTGGTTATCGATAAAACGCATTAGGGCAAGCCTAAAGAAGGAGGAAATTCTCTCTCAAATAACTATGTGTTTCTCCAATTGCGTACAGCTTTAGTACTTCAAAATTTAATTAGAAAATGGCACCCAAGAATGAGTGGTGATTATATAGACTCAGATTTGTAACCCCTACGGCAAAACCCAAATGCAAATTACATCACTCACAAAAACTGTAACTCCCAAATGTTGGCATAAGCCGATACATCAACATAAAAAACGTTTTATCTCTTTAGTTGTTTTAGGTAACTTATTAGCTTCATTTTCCTTCTATGATTTATCAATGTTTTGTGAAACATTTCTCATCATTTCTTTCACGGTACAAAGAAAACCACCCACGTTCCGAAGGTTTTATGTTTACCCCATCTGGTGTTCTATCACTGTCACCGCATTTTCAATGATGTTAGCACATCGCCTGTTTAAAGCAGATGGTTATAATTATACAAGTACAGAGATAAAACTGAGCAGTTTGCCTATGTGTTATTTTAACCATTTTGTCCGGTTTGAACTCAACGTGTGCTTTTACTTATGTGTGATCCCGTTTCAGATATCATTGCGCGGTCATGTTGTCGGAAAACGAATTAGAGGTAAACGAAAAGCAACAGTTCATTGCGAAACGAATGAAAAAATATTTATCAGATTTGAAAAAGTTTCCCAGATCTTGCCCACAAATGTATCTGTTCACATAGAATCATTCACATTGAATTGTATTTGCAGTTTCTCGGAATTTATGAGCATGATCAGTGTTTATTCTATTCCGGGGAAAAATATGTCCCTTCTACGCACGATACTGACCGGTCTACGAATTACGGAAGTAAGAAATTTGATTGCACCACTAGCAGTACAATTTTGTTCAGGATTCAGCCAGTTTCATTCAAATGATCTCCGAAGAAGTGTATCGGTTGGCTAAAAAAATTCCCAAGCAATTCATAAAACCTGAGGAAGACAAGAACTTGCAGGTAACCCATGCTCTCTTAATAACAGTTTTCCAGGAAAAGTTAGGTATTATTTATCTGCAAAGTCGATTGTATGGTTTGAATAAAGCATCCTCGGAGTTGGGATATCAAGTGGCAAATTATGTAAAAAACACTTGTCTTGTTAATCTACAAGAAATTTTAATCCCGCTGCATAAAATTCCCGAGGATATTTCAGCAATTTTGAGAGGTTTGTGGAACTCTCTAAATCAAGATAAACCTTTTTAGTTATATCAGATACATACTGCACAGGAGAGACAATCACAAGTGATGAGAATAATTCTGTGGTAATAATCAGTTGAAAATATTGACTACATTGTTGTGGCTTTGAAAGATTGCGGGATTTCTGCTCTGGTTCTATTTTTACATGAACTCTAAAGTTGTGTTCAAGCATCCACATTATCTACGGCTGATCACTTGGTTGGATATTGCTGCAATGAAGTATCTTGCATATCGTGGTTGGGATACTGCATCAGAGGTAAGCTGAACGATTTTCCTTTCAGGTAGAAGGCACTTTATTGAGCATTTTATAGAAGTAGAACATGCGATTTGATCAGATATTTTGTCTCCATCGATCCTCTTAAGATACGCACAAGTACCCTTGTACCTACCGGAATTCAACCTGCAATAAAAAGGTAATTTTGTCTAGTTCGTGAAGAAACAGGACAAGACTAACAAATTCAATAATTTCTGTCTCAGTGTGTGCGCCAAAGGACGTTACCTCAAAACGATGATCTGCATATCATCTGAAATACCAATTAAGTGTTTGACTTTAACTTGACAGCCTTTACCGCTCATTGGGTGTGCGTATCTAGTAATCCCTTATTGGATCTTTTTTATACTTGCACTCTGGATGTAAATTATGCTACAAAACAATCATGTGCATCTCATAGACCTGACTCAAGACAAGCCATTCTTGAGGAACGGGTTACGACAGATTTACCGAACACACATCGCTGATGAGTGATGGGAACCCCGAAACAGCTCGTGTGATTGTGGCAAATTTTGTGCAGTCATTCACAAATTGCTTTGATATTCACAAGCGACAAATTCACTCAACTAATTGAATCAAAGCCTCACTCACTCTCATGCGAAAAATCCCTCAGTTGTGGAATGTTCCCTACCGAGGAATGACTCGTGGGGCTAGTGGTAAGGTGAGCAACGTGTGATGCCCACAACAACAGGCGTGCAGTAATGGGATTTGTTACATGGTACATAGAGAACACGAAAAGCTGTCTAATTAAGTGTCTGGTAGTTCAGTGAGTGGTCCGCTCACATCATGTTTGTGAGATCCCAGGCTCGGTTGTTTGTTGGGTAGATGAATTCACACTGCTCATCAAATCATAAAGCTAGACAGTGTTTCCTAGTTAGTCAGTTATTGCTTCGTTTACTCCATACATGACAAAATACACCAAATAACTGAAAAGGATTTTAGGCTTTCTGAATGGGCCGGTGCGTAGGCATCACTAATGACATAGCCTTTAAAATTGGATAGTTCTTGAGTTCATAATCGACCGAAAGATCCGAAGATAAAGCTTACGAAGCTATTGAAATTGACCAAATCGTGTGCTGAAGCTTCCAACGAATGTCTATGCATCGTTGATCAAGTTTTCGGCTTCTGTGGAACACAGAAATCACTGTTAGTTTTGATGACCAAAAATAAAACAGATTTTGAGAGCTCAGTATTGCTAATTAGGTTTGTGCTGCCACATAAACTATTCACACATTCATCTGTATACTGTTTCAATGGTAGTTTCGATAGATACAATTGAACAAGTCGAATTAAGGCGGTATCCTCCAACTCATGAATACTTTTACCCCGGTCGACCAAATTAGATCAAGTATGGTGGGTCCACCGTTGTTTGATTTTGAACCAAGAGGCTTACTAAGGTGCCGAAATCGGACCTGGAAAATGTTTCAGGAGACCGATGCAGGTTACAACCTCTGTCGGAGAAGTTAAAAATCAATTCACAGACCTGGAACGATCCAAACTCAGGTCCTTTGAGCAAATGGTGGCGGTATATTACGTGGGACTACCCAGCTCAACTTTGCTTACCGAAGGAGGCGTTTAAAAACCAGGGCAGGTATTCTGGCGTTGATCGACGGAGTCACACTCATTGTCACCGATGAAAGTAAAGCAGAAGCACTGACCAAGTAATACCGCTGATCGTGCACAACACGGGCTAAACCACCACCATCACCTAGTAGCACGTCCATGCAAATGGTGGTCAAGTGAGAATGACGAGGGATGACGAGGGACAGACGTCACCTTCGTTGATTTGAGTAAGTGGTTTGGTAAGATGCCTTATAGTGGATCGTCATCTAAACCCATGACTTCGGGCAGTGTGGGCACCGCGCTTCGTGCGATAGAATCATTTCTGAAAGAGGGAAACCTTTCGGTGAAAGTTGCACAGACAAGGCACTTTATTATTAAACTATTGTTAAACTAAACTATCCCATTCAGTCAGCAACGATATATAACGGAGCATAATTTGTCGTTTGAGAATTGTACCAGTCCATTTTGCGGACAGAGTATAATTTATTGAATTTTCACAAAAATAGGATTTCGGATATTTTGAACCATTTTCGAACAAGCTAGTCGTAGTTTGAAATGCCCTGAGCTAGAATTTCAGAACACAAAACTAGATGCACAATGACAAAGAATAATCTCGAGTAACTCACATACTGTTTCATTTCCATGGGTGATTTGATGACAGGTTTACCAAGGGGATCGAAGTGCTCCAAAAAGTGACAAAATTATCCCAATGTCCCTAAGTATTCCATATTATTGCAGTTACATTTAACTTCCAAATATTATTATTACATCAAATGACATTTATTACACTCTAATTTAATCAAATTTTATCAGTTTTGCTCATTCACACACGTGTCATCTTTAATAGAATAATGGTTTATTCAAATATTTTCTATTCAATGTAAGGCTTTGGCCAGAAATTCGGTCATCGGGATTGCAGAACTCAGTCAATTTTATTCACATCAAGGAAACCTAGTGGACTCGACGACAGCAGCTCAAATTCAACTGTCCACAATGCTGGTATGTTGCGCAATTTAAGAAACAAAAATTTTTCTTTTATTAAAAAGGCATTATAGCAGTAGAATCTTTCTTCATGCATAATTTTTTGATGAGCTTGTTTTCCATAAAAATAGCACTCTTAAGAAGAAATGGTTTAATTATTTGGGGGTCCTACACTTTAGGGTGATGAGCAAGTTGAGACAGTTGAACTCACTAGGAAGAACTAATTCGAAAGAATCTCGCTTGCTCTTTGTGGTACGAGTAGAGTGGGTAGCTCAAGCTGGATAATAACGAATTTTACCTTCACTTGGAGATCAACCAGAAGTGGTCGGTGCAAACGGAAGGTCCGTCGCGCACAGAGAATAAAATATGGTCCAGTGTGGAGACTAGATATTGCACAAACGTTATTTTAAAACAGCGATAGTGAAAATTGTGAAAGAGTAATTATAACAAAATCCGGAGGAAAAAGAAATACATTTTTCGGTTGTCAAGGTTACATAAATAAATCGATCAGAATCACACTATATAAACTGAAATAAAACTGCAAAAAAGAAGGACTTTATGGAACGCAAACCTAGTTCCTAACCCGAACCCGAACCAAAACCATAACCATAACGGTCTCAACACTTTGCAGTTCCGGAAGAATCCTCAAGCAGGTCAATATAAACCAATATAGACCCACTTTCAGGTCACTAAAGTCTGCAACTCTCTGTATATTTTTAGTTTCTAGAGTGCTTACAATCTGAGTACTTATAAACAGTTCCAAACAAAATATAACAAACGACATCATCCGTGCGCAGGATGTTAGGTTCAATGATATTTACGAGTGTGAATGAGTTTGAACCTGTAAACATACATAAACTCAGTAGCTGAGAAAATGTTGACTATATTGTATGCAGGAATCATGACCAGAGTGATCAATCATGTATGGTATCATAGTTACTCATCAACTGGTTAGTTATTTCAGAAAGATGGATTCTCCTGACAGGTTCGAAATGATGAAGTTGACTGACGCGAAAGATGATAGTAGTATTTGTGTATCTGCGCGGACGCTTTCGACAATCTAACATCAAATTTAGTCTCTGCTGAATTAGTGCTGTAGCTTAGCGCAAAGAAGCTGAATATCATTTAGTACAGAGAACTATGGAAATTTACCAAAAGCAACGCAAATAGCACAAAACAACAATCAGTTTCAAACTAATCAGTTTTCTTGCTTGAATGATTTATTTATAAGTTCTCAGATAACATTTATTGATTTATTTGAAGGTGTAAGATAGATATCGCACACATTTAATCTTTTGTTCAGATTTCCACACTCATATTCAAGCGAACTGTGATCGAATCCCGTAAACGTCCACAAGGAAATATGCGTCCAAAAGTTAGAGTGGATTTCGCCAATCTTTTAACGGTAAGCCATGTTGTATTATCAGCCCCCTTCGCCCGTTGGTATGTAACTGGATGCAGACAACCACCTATTTGTTCTGTCTTCTGTTTGACTGGCATAGGTGGAACAGATAGCTCTGCAATACAACTTATGGAATTTACTGTGAAGTACCAATGTGTTCTTATTTGTGAAATGATTTTTTCCTTTTATCCATTTCATGAACGCAAAAAGACTAATGTGTAAATTATTTCAACTAGCCATCTATTTTGTGCTCAGTTTATCCGTGAACGCATGTTTATACAGTCATATCAACCAAAGAAACGTACCAATTGAAATTAGTCATTGAATCAAGGTAGTGCAGGATTCGGTTGCCGAATTGGGTTCGGTTACGGATAAGATTAATTCAGATGACAAACTTTGCCAACACGTTATCAAATTAAACCGGTTAAAACAAGATGGCGAATGTGAGAGATGGAAAAAGGAAGAAAGCTGGGAAAGCTGTTTCGCACACCGTGATAAGTTAGCACCTGGTGTGACTTTGCCACTACCACGGCGGCAACAGTTGTGTGGCAAACGTTTTCTGAACACACTTGCGTTTCCAAAATATCGTAAAATTCGTGAATTACGAAGTTTTGAAATGGCGGGGTAAACTTTCGGTGAGTTTAGTTGGTGATCGGAGTCTATCCTAGTTTTACCTACAAAGATCGAGGTGTTTTGGTGTAAGTACACAAATTCTGGTTGACAGAAAAGGTTCTTCCCCGGCGGTTTACCTCACTCTAACCACAAATACCCTAAGATGAATAGATGAATACGCCATCCAGGTTGGTGTGACTGACGTACGGAAGCAGCCAGTGAAAAACAATTAGCCCGGCTTCGTAATGCGTTCGTTTTGTGTTAGACGACAAAACATATATAACAGATAGATAAAAAGAGAGTTAGTATATGTATGCTAAGTCTTATGGGAATAACTACGAATGGTATCTTTTTGTTAATCTAAAAAATAAAATGGAACAGGAGTTGAATTAAGCCCTAACATCTGGTGATACTTACCTCCTGGATAAATTACTACACGTGACGAAACAGATGCTAAGACGTTATTCCACCAGCTAAAATCTCTGAATCGCTTCGTCACACTTAAATTAGATGGCAATTAGGAGTCAAAACCACAGGCTTTTAAAACTTATCACTCAGTCTATTGCGGAACTGGAAGCTTCGCATATCTATGTATTGTAAACCTACTTTAACAGAGAATTACCTGTACTCAATAAGATTTTCCCCTGTGTTAAATATACGTGTTCTTGTGCGGACTTTATTACGCAAAGTTTGACAACTATGTAGGTCACAAGTCCTTCCAGAAGACTTGAATAGAATGTCCTATACTTTGCAAACATAACAAAAGGACATTTATATTGGGGTACCTTTTAAAAAAGATGAAGAGACAATCAGGATATCTTTTGGACCAATGCTTAAGAAGGATTTTTTAGTGCTGCAACACTAATTATCTTCTACGGGACATTCCACTGTGTTTATATCTATTTCGGTGAAGCAAGCAGTAAGTTGAGTTGCTGAGATCCAACGCTTTTACGTAAGACCATTGAAAATAAAATAAAAATTCACTGCAGTTTGCCGAATANAATAATTCGCGTCACTGTGTCGTGAAGACGTTACACATTCTTCCTGAGAGCTTAAAAGGTAATACTTTCTAAAGAATTATACATATCATATACACCCTATTCAAAGTTTGTCACTATGTCTTATTTTGCATATAACAGACTAATTGATAGAAGACTTCTTACCGAAAACTCACTTAGAAATTCTGCGGTACCCTTCAGATCGGGAAGTAGGTTGATGCGATTATATGGTGAAGTTCATCATGTACAGAGGAAACGGTGGCGGTTTCTCGTATGTCTCGATGTGCATGGTCAGCCTTTGATTGGCTACGTCCCCTTTCTTTAAAATGCACTGTACAGCAATGAAAGCAAAACATTCATGTCATCATTTATTAGTACTATTAGTACTACCATTTTCTTGATGATGCCAATCCCGAAATTTTGAGCACCACTCATTATTCACCTTCCTAAGAATACACAAGTTGAAACAATAATTCCTTGAAATGAACTTGAACAAAGCGCACAACAATCTAAGCGATCACGATTTAAATCCGAAATAATTTTGCTGCATCTCAGCTGGTGCCTGATGCAAGGCATGAAAATCCAACATGGTATCAGTTCACTCTTCCGCTTACATAATCACCAGGGCAATGCTAGAGTGTTGTAGAACGTCTGCTGACACAGCAGGGGCTTTCAGAGCTCGATCGCCATGGTCGCTGCAATCATTAGCAGGGTTGTGTAAACAACTCTAAACAAAGTCCCGTAGTTGGCTTGGTGGGCAGTTTGCAGCAGACGGCGAGCAATTGATGACACAGGTGCTTTGTATGGCTGGCTTGACGGCCTGGTTGTTTGTGTAGTGCTCAATCTCATCCGCTCTCGTTGGACCAATGCTGGTAAGTGTTCAACCACTAGGGTATGCAACTGCCTCTCTGTTCTGCCCACATAGGTAGCTCCGCACCAACATTGGCGGACCGAGGTAGCAGCGATTCAACCAAGGGTTTTCGGGCGCCTTGTGAAGTAACGTACCGGATTGGCAGCAAAATCTATGCGAGCTACAGCCGTCTTCGTATGATTCGGCATATATCATCTTTGAAAGGGAGTTGAATGGTGGTTTCGCATTTAAGCACTATGATTTTGATGGGCTTGGGCTCGCTTTTCACTTTGCCTTTGTATGAACTTTACTGGGTAGCCACTGAGCGTCATGCCTTCCGTGAGCCGCATTAGCTCACTTTCCACGTTATCGAAAGTGCACAGCCTCCGAGATCGGTCAAACTTTGTACGCAAAAGTCCTCTTTTGTACTGTATAAGAGTGAAACTGTGATACTGATCGATCCACTTGAATTCCCGATGCACAGACCTCGAAATAGTCCCGTCCGTTCTTCGACTAATAAAAATATCCAGAAATGGGAGTATTGTTTTTCTCAGCTGCCATAGTCAAATCTTCATCCTTTTGAAGTAAATTCAATTCAGCTAGCAACTCCCCAGTTAACCTGGCGCTTCGGGTGATTACCAACGTGTCATAGGCGTATGTTTGTACAGAACAATACCGTTTAATGTCCAAATGGCTTTGGTCTCCAAACTAGCCATGCAAATATCAGCCAAATTAAGACTGAGCTGGCAAACCAAAGTATGTTAATCTAAGATGGACACGGTGCACAAACCTAGTATACCACTTTGTCCAATTATATTCATGACAAATTCTCCGTAAAACAATATAGCCAAGTTTACAGCCGCCAAGTGAAGGAAGATCTCTTCAGTTACACTTGCATATCTGCTCTTGTATGCAAATGGAAGTGCATACTCATATAAGGTAGCAAAAGGTGTGATACCGAACTGGACGACCGTGCATCTGCCGACCAGTTTATTTCTTTCCCGCTTGTCACAGACTTTGGGTGAATGTATCAACTTCACTGCCCGCGGCATCTTTAACGGTGGAACGAAATCATAATATCCAACTTATTTCTGTTGGTCTAAAATGGATCTGGCATAGACAAACTTTTCAAGTTGATTTATATGCACCGTTCGCATTTATGATGGTGCATACGTTTAGGGCTGAGACTTAGTCGGAAGCCAAGCCAAGCTGATTGGTTTGTAATCATGGCATGTAATACGATTGCCTTTTTGGTAAAAATTTAAATACGAATATTAATCTAGATATTGAACCCATACTACCGAATTTATTGCGTCAGATCGCAAAAGCGATCTAGGGAATCAATTACTTTCCAATTTCTTCTTTCCACTAAGCCTAAGGCAATTGCCTCGAAAATATTTATTCACAGCTTTTACCGTTTGATTGATTTCAGAACAAGTGGCCTCGAACACAAACTGAAAGGTTTCTGAATCAACTGTTCCCGCATCCAGAGGTTCAAATTTTGGCTATCCTCGAAGCACTGAGTTTAGCCCCTGGAACACGACGCAGTCTGATCAATCCAAGCACGCCAGCTGACGAAAATGACTGGGAATTGAATGATGTGTACACAGAATTGTTGATGGCTGCTCTCGAGTTGATTTACCGTGAGTCCACGCTGATCAATATCGAATAAATGTGATCAATTTTAGCATGACTTATCTCAGTGAGATAAGCCCTATAATAAGTGAATTACCCAACAACCATGATCTATCGTTTTGTTATTGAAAGCAGCATCCTGATGAGGTAAACGTGTTATCCAGCCAGAAGGTAGTCAAGCTGCCTAACAGCATAATTCGGTAGTGATAGCAGGGTTCGAACCTCAGAGCCTAAGGTTAGTAGCAGTTAATTTAGTTACTTGGCCACGTGAT